CCCCCCCCCTTCACAATTGCAAGTAGCCCTAACCTATAAATCATTGAAAGGGCCCTATCAAGTGACAAATTAAGGTGCCCTCCTCCTAATTAATGGTCATCAATGTCCTTAATTATCTAATCCTATTGAGAGTAGTTAATAGTTAATCATGCAGCCAGTTCTTCAAGCAGGTCATCTCTGCATGAGTGCTAGAAGTTTCTCAACTAGGGATATCCTCTTCAAAAGCCACTTAAAGGCAAATGCATGAAGGAGGGTTCTTTTTTTTCTTTTTGTTTTTTGTTTTTTCCTAAGAGACTCATTTATAACGCATTTCATTTTCCAGAGAATGTAACTAATGAAACTAGGCTTGCGAGGTGTTAAACTATTTAACAACTGTATTGTTTTTGAGCAATACATTAGAAAGAAAAACCTTAATAGTTCGTGATTGGTTTTAAAACACAAATGTTTTTACTGTTTTCAGAAATACAGAGAAAGCACGTGCCGTAATTTCACAGCATAGTGAATTCACAGTTGTTATAGCTAAGAATCAGAATGTTTAGACTTTTTTTCCTCATTACGAATCCTGACACAGACTATGATTTTTCTGTCAGCAGTATTTGAGGTTCTAATCTGTCATGTAATTTAAAAGAAAAAACACAACTAAACAGGAGGCTGTGTATAAAGAAGTCATTAGCCCTGGGACAAAAGTGTTTGCAATAGGGATGCGATAGAACTCGTGAAACAACCTGCTGCTCTAGGGATGCGTAGATGACTCACTTGAGTAATTTCTTGCTTCATTGTGCAGTTGGGACCCCTTTTAAGTAACTTCAATTTTTGTTAGAGATATGCTTTCTAGAAGCTAAAATGGCACAAAACTGGCCTTTTGAACACATTAGATCACGATCCTACTGTGATCTTCCTGTACACATTTTGCTGGTATATAATCCGTACTTCCTTCTGTTAGGAGAAGCAGACTACAGCTAGTCTGATTAGAGCAATCAGGTCCTTAAGAAAACGGGGGGAAGAGAAAATTGGTTTTGGAGGGGATGTGAATATCATCTCTTAACATTGGGTTCTGCAGTTAGGATGTGATGAGTCAGCAGTCAGTTTCAGATCTGGTGGTAAAAACATAAAACAGCACAACGGTGTGCGTTACGAAGTACAGTTTAGATTTAGGACTTCTTCAGAATGCAGCTTAAATGTGAAATGAAAATTTATTTGAGTACATTACATTACAGTTTTGGAAAGTATCAGCTTCGTTATACAGGATTTCGGGTAAAAATATTGACCTCTACTTGAAATGTCAATTTAAAATCAAATTACTTAAGAAAAGTTAGAAATCCTCAACCTGTGACTTACAACAAAATTTCTCCAGAAAGGGTTTTCACCACTAGACCATTCTTTCTTATGTTACAGTTTATAGTGTGGGCATTGGAGTCTGCATAGATTTTCTCATTTCTGGATTGCTCACCAATTAAATAACTCGTTGTAGTTTGGCCCTCATCGCTAAGAATAAAGAGTTTTTTTTATCTTAAGGATGAATGTACTTTTTTATGAATATTTATGAGTGCTCATTTTCCGTTTCTAAAATACAAGATAGAACTTTTTTGTTCAATATTTATGGTAAAAGCTGCAGTAGCTATATGAAGAATTCCCAAATCTTCACTTGTTAGTTAATAGCAATATATTATGTGTAATATTGTCAGGGTAGACCTATCTTATGTGCATGCCACTTTAAAGGACACAATTTTGAAGTTAGCCTGTCTAATCCTATTTCTTCCCACTTTGGAATCTTAATTAGAAGGAGATAAAAACCATCATTTGACTAAATTATTGTCTTGAATCTGTAGCAAAAGGTATAATCCGCAATTGGGCCAATTAGTGTACCCCATAGTTAGCTATGCTGAGGCAGGAAACTTGATTAGATCTGACACCAGCCTAGTTCCCACTGTTGTTTTGCCAGGTATGATGGTCAGACTTCAAAGGGCTTGAGGCATCAGCAGGGCAAGGTTTGGAGGCCAGCTTAGGTCCGGTCGTTAATCTCTCTGCTAAAACCACAGCAGCCCTCGCACAAAACAAGCTTACACGACACAATCATGCGGTATTAAAGTTTGGGTTGAGTCATGCCAATTTGCCTTTGATTTTCTGATGATTGACTAAAAGATGGCTACATGACTAGACACATACTGAAAGTTTACTGATTAGGTAAGTTCCCCAAATATTTGAAATATTTTTTGATTTCTCAGTTAAATGATATGACAACCCATTCATCTTAACAAAACTTTTCAGCAGAATTGTATTTGAAGTACTTTCTGCTTGGTTTCTACCTCTGAGTGTAACTTTTATCAACATTTAATAAATTTCTTAGTAACATTATCTTCCTAGGTTTTTTTTTTTGATAGAACTTTTTCTTCATTGTTCCAGAGTCTCCTGTATCAAAACTAAAGGAAACTGTGACTAAATTAGTTCTTTTTTCAATTATATATGTTTCTAAGGAAACATTCTTCTTTATTTTTTAGGTACATTTACAATTTCTCACATAAAAGGAATTTCCTCTTAATTATTTTCCACCTCAACATTGAGTGAACTGCTGCTCCATGGCTGCGATTACATAAGTGTTCCTTTCTTTTGCGTTCTGATTTGTTGAAATATTGCAGTAACAGTGACATGTTTCCATTCTGAGAAAAGCCTGAGGCTGCTTTAGTATTATTCCAAATGATTGAAATTGCCATCTTGCTGACTTTCCCTTGGGCAGCTTAAGGCCTGTTTACTTTTGTATTTGTTTCACATGTTCCCTCTGAGTTTGGCTGGCAGGACATCATTACCTGGTTTGACAAGACAGTTGGATAGGATTCATATCTGATTAACTCCCTTTGTTACTGGTGGTCAACATAAATCTCTAGAATTGTGTGTTTGCAGTTAAAACTTTTAATGCATTCAGATAAATGTTTGCAAATATAAAATGGGGGGAAGGGGGAGGAAGACTTTTTAAAATTCCCGAGTTTTGTTTTACTGCTGATTTGTGTAAGTCTTGTAGTATGAACCAATTTTTAGTAGCATAGAGAATAACCTTTTTGTTATAATTTGCATAATACAGCTTGTCTAAGAATATTTATGGCTGTTGTGGAAATTTTCTTTTTTTTTATTTTGATGAATGCACATGTAAGAGCTAGCTAATACAGTTTTCTTTTAATGACTGTCTGACACCTTGTACAAAAGAGAAGAAAAAATTTTTAGAACTAACCAGCAAAAGACAGCTCAGCTAGAAGTCAAGTATCATATACTCTGTACAGAATTGCCACACAGCGAAAAGAAGTTTCAAAAACTTAATGTATGAATTCAGAAGATTGTTTTCTGGGAGGTGTTTCTCAAGGGGAAGAGAAGAAGATCAAAATTAGAAGATTCCTGTGGCAGTAAAGTTGCTAGTTTCTCATTGGCAGGCAGGTACAATATGGGATTATAGAGCACTCTGGCTGTAGTGAATTTTCCCTAACATAGTACCCATTGTTGCCGGAGCAAAAGGTCTTTGGAAGGAAAAGTAATCACAGAGAAAAGCATTTGGGTCTACGTATAACTAAATTTATGATTCCAAAGGCGTTAAAATAATGGCCTTTCTTTGTCTATCAGTAAAGGCACTATTAGAAAATAGCTGATTCCCAAAATGATCAAGATTTAATGGTAACTTCAGATAGTGACATGTATGTTATGTGTCCG